AAAAAAATAAAAAATACGATTTAAAAAATATGCCCCAAGGAGACCACCCGCGGTCTCCAAGGGGCTGCGGCCTAAACCGCTTATAAACCATAAACAACAGCTACTAGCTAACCTTTATTTATTTACTTTCATTCACAATTTTAGCCTTTTTTGATTTTTTAGGTTTACTGTCCTCCACGTTCGACCTTTTCTGACCCTCCAATTGAGCGACTCGTGCTTCCAAAGCGGCAATCGTCGCAGCCGCCCCTTTCGGCACGTTGTCCTCGATGAGTTTAGTCATTGCTCGACGCGAGAATGAAACCTGGCCATTCCTGAAAGAATGTTTTAGTAACTATAGTAATCTTTGCTAAAGGTGTGAACTTACAAGATGCGCACTACTTTAAAGAAACGAGTGGCATCGACGTAGACCACATCCTTGTGTGACTCACTCGAGTTCATCTGAAATATGTCAAGTTAGCCCGTTGCTGTAGCGCCCGGATACCTCAGATTAATACGCGAAAGCATATAAACTTCAGAATCACGGAATGCAACGCGACATAGACAGATAGTTTGAGATTAGTCACGATTAGCAAAGAGACTAGATGCACCTTGGAGGTCTCCGGCTAAATAGAGATCCTCCTTGGTTATATGACACTACCATGGTCGAGTTCTCGCATAGGTTCACACCCTCTTAGAGGAGCTTGCCTATTCGACCTGGCGTTGTCGGTTCGAGGTATTACCATTCGGACCTGGACCTCGGCTCAAGGCTCAGGCTTCCTGGTATCCTCGGGACATTACGGTGGTCGTGTGTTCGCACTAGCATGAACTGACGTGGTCTCCTTTCATTAGGGATTACCTAACTTTGAGAGGCCACTTACACAACCCCGCAATACCCCAGTGAGTCACACGCGCGCAGCGTCATTAAGGCTTCCCGACAAAAGTCGAGTCTCAGGCAACTGCAAGCAGTTACCCACAGCCGTGCAACCCACTATCATTTCCTGACACCTCTGTTTGGCAAATGCACCCCTTTGCCATGGGGACGAGATCCGCGTGTTCAGTGTGATTACCCGCCCAACGGCTTCTCTCTTCCGGCGGCGCCTAACTGCAGAGCAGCTCGGCAAGCCTTCTGAGGTCTGCCATCAGATGGCAATCAAACAGCGACGGGCGGTGTGTACAAGAGGCAGAGACGTATTCACCATGTCTTGATAAGGCATGGCTACTGGAGATCCCCCAGAGGATTAGCGGCCTCTGAGAAGACCCCTGTTTACCTCTCCGTCAATTTCTTTAAGTTTCAGTTTGGACGAAGGTCGGCTACCGGTACCTGGCCAACGTCCGTGAATCGCTCGTTATACGTACTTTGCTCCACTGACTTCAACTTTGTGAGTCACTTCCAGCAACGTTATGTGACTCTAGACATGCCCGAGCTCGTACGGGGCCAACATGTCTATGCGCTCCAGAATTACGCGTTTTTTAAGCGATTCTTAGGAACATCCGCGAGGATGAACCCGACATACATGGCTTATCTACTCAAACGAGCATATGAAATCAACAGAATCAATCAGGTCGACGCAGCGACTAGGGCGGAATGGGCGGTCCGATTAGCGGCGAACCGACCAATCACAGTTACACCGCTGGCTCGAATAGCAGCGAACCATCCGGCTATCTAACACGTTTGCAGTTTCGCAGACCACCAACGAATCAAATA